TGGAAGACCTGCCCAGAAAAATGTACTGGTGGAATCGCCAGGACTAAAATTTGACTTGAGGGCATCTCCGAGGTGGCGCAAGAGAGGGTGTAAAGTGCGCTGATGGAGGAGTGCACATAGGTCACATTCTGTACCATCCTGCACTATTCGGCAAGATAAATACACACAGTCACATTCTGTATCAGCTGTAACTTCCAGGTGCTCTTCAGGAGCAGTCCCATGCAGAGTGCATGTACTCTACTACAGGTAGTCCTCATTTAGCGACTGTTCACAGTTACAACAGTGATGCACAAGTAACTTTGTGACCAAACCTCGCATTGACGACCTTCACAGGTCTGTAAAGCAAAGGAAAGCTGAAGTCAGATTGTAAGCACAGCCGCGGTTTCACTTAGTGACTGCTTCGCTTAACAACCAAGGTGTTGGTCCTAAATGTCGCTAAATGAGGACTCCCTGTATAATCCATCCCAATAAAATAGAATTCTAATCTTCTTGTGAAGACAGTTTCCTGATCTAGTCTACCCCATGAGGCTGACGCTATCAGAAACAGGAGGAATGTCTTCTTAGCGCCACCTCCGCCAGCAGAGAATTCTGTCACCAACATTAGTTTGGCAAAGGTGATTTTGCTTAGCAAGCCCACATTGGTGACTAAAAAGACTTGGCTGATCCCAGCCTCTCTTTTCTCCCCGCATCCAGGAAAATTGGCCAGGAGCAGAAAAATTGAGATGACGATGACGTGGATATTAATAAAGCCTGGCCAAATCATGTTTCCCGGGAGCCTGTGACATTCTAATCCTAGTTTTTTGTTTCCAACGCTTGTTCTGCGGGCTTCTGAGTCAGCTCCAGCAAGCGCAGAGCCACCAGACGTTGCTGAAAAGTTTCCGTTGTTTCGGAAGCGCAGGTTGAACGCTTTCCAGGGCTCGCTTAGGGTGCCGTGCGCGGTTTCCACCTGTTCCCAAAGCAACCAGCCAAATGATGGCGTGCATCTCGGTAATGCTCTCATTCCTCTGTGCAAACCAGCAAATTGTGTGTGTGTGTGGGGGGGAATGCCTGGGTTTTGGACATCTTTGCAAGCACGCATGGGTTCAGGCCAAGGACATGTATCTTTGCAAGTCAAGGGTGCACGTCTCACAGCCGTATGGCTGTCTGCGCCCTTCAACTCGATCCGTAAGGCCCTTGGAAACTTCTCTGACCAGGGTTGCTGAAATGCGCCTCCCCGCCATTGTGAGATGCGTTCAAACGGGAGCGTAAAAGAAGCTTGCTCTAAGAAAAAAAAGGGATTTCTAAAGGAAATTTAAAATTTAAATTGGAAACAAAATTAAAAGAAAATCAGGCCTCTCCCTAAGCACGGTTTGGCTGCAGATGCAATGTGATCTTGACTTGCTTCAACGTGCTCCGTGTGTCTTTGTGACTAAACTGAGGCTCCCCTTCCTTCGTGCCAACAAACAATGGTTGCTTGCTTTTGTTCTAAGCCATCATTAACTTCTTTGGCTTTGTCTGAATTCTCATCCTACGCTGAGCCTTCAGGGGTTTATAAATGCATTAAGCAGCCCACGTCGAGCTGCAACAAGACATCATCGCGTTTATTTTTTCTAAAAAGGAAACACAGCAAATATTTTGAGTTTAAAACGATACTTTAAGAACACACAGGAGTGGATCGAAGTTGCCACAAGTATGATAGGTTTTTAAGACCTCTTGAGAAACAAATCTTAACTCTGCAATTTTTAACATTGTTTTTATTCTTGCCTGCGGAATATACGCTTTGCTGTAGGCAACTTAAGCACAACCCCCTCCCTCCCAATGTTGGGTTTCTGAGAATTCACCACACTCTACCTGGATGACCTCACCTTTCTTCATGAGCTCTAGAAACTTGACATTCTCTGGGGGCCACATCTTCTCTCTCAATCACATCCATCACCGTTTTAACATAACAGTGTCCTGTCTTCCTTGGGAAGGGTATGTCTTAGGAACGAACAGGCAGAGAATATACCTGCCTAGAGTTTGCAATCTTGTCTCCCTGCTTTCCATCAAGATGGAGGCAACTACGATGGGATCCATGATATGTCCAGCCCTGCAACCGGAGATCGCTATCCTCAATGGAATCATGGAAGACAAAACTGGGAAATGAACTATCAGGAGGCGGCGATCTACTTACAGGTGGGCCATGGTCTTTCTGTTATGCCTTGGAAAAAAGAAGGGAAGGAAAACGGGAGGATGGGTGGGATCCCAGAATCCCCCAGCCTGAAGAACCATTGGCATCTAAAAAGCCTGCAGAAGAAGAGGAGACATGGGAGGGCTTTCAGAAGGGACTTTCAGTCTTGCAAGATTCAGTTAATGTAACCTTACAATGAAATAGAACTGGGATTCATTGTTGTGCTTCCTGTCTGGGCTAACATCAACTTTGCAAGACTGCAAGTATTTCTCCCCTCCTCTCCTTTTCCTCTCTGGAAAACGTGGGAGGGTCCCTTCTGAAACATTTCCCACACCCTCCCTCCTTCCATGGGTTGAGACATCTTTTACATGCTGGTGGTCCCATCTGCAGCTCTTCCTCCTGTCTCCCAAGGTCATTCCCCCATACCATGGCAGAGCCCCTAGGTGCATTGACCAGGCTGCTGAGAAGTCTAGAGCAGTGTTCCTCAACCTTGGCAACTTTCAGATGGGTGGACTTCAACTCCCAGAATTCCCCAGCCAG